TTCACTGTCTTCTAGCTGCTGTCATCCTATGAGAAGTTTAGTCATTAAATCATATAACATGTATCATTTTTGTCTTTGATTTTCAGCAGTTTTACTACGTGTCTAGGTATAGTTTTCTTTAAATTTAGCCTGTTTGGGCTCTCTGAGCTTCTTGACAATGTAAATTTATGTCTTCCATTATTTTAGGAAGGTCTTGTTTATTACTTCTTAAAATATCTTTCTGCACCATTCTTTCTCTTCTTTTCTTCTAATACTCCAGTTAAACCCTACAGACAAATACACCCAGTGAAGTACATACATTACAGTTAACAGACAATCCCTGACTTACGAGTATTTGATTTAGAATTTTTCAACTTTATGCTGGATTTATCAGGGTATTAAATGCATTTTCATTTTAGTTGTATTTTTGACTTTCAGTGAGTTTGTAGGGACATAACCTCACCATAAGTTGAGTAGTATCTCTATTTTCTACCCATCTGCGCTGTAACAACAGATGAGTGATGAGATCACAAAGTTCCATGTTATTGTCTATGGATGAACTTGAGAGCTATTGTAAGGAGGAATAAATCAGCTATAATGTTCTTATTCAATTTTAGCTATTTATTATCAAGGCACATCAGATATCAAGAGGTTAGTTCAAAATGTCTGTTTTGGGGTGCTTTTTTGGTGATACAGGAAAAGAATGAGTAGGAATGAACATCACTTGAAGAGAGACTCAGTCTATATATAGCTCATGCAATGCAGTAGGATGGCGGAGGTTTTTTTTTTTTTTTTTTGAGACAGACTCTTGCCCTGTTGCCCAGACTGGAGTGCAGTGGCACAATCTCGGCTCCCTGCAACCTCCACCTCCCGGGTTCAAGCGATTCTCCTGTCTCAGCCTCCTGAGTAGCTGGGATTACAGGCTCCCACCACCACACCCGGCTAGTTTTTGTACTTTTAGTAGAGATGTTGACCAGGCTGGTCTCAAACTCCTGACCTCAGGTGATCCACCCGCCTTGGCCTCCCAAAGTGCTGGGATTATGCATAGGTTGATAAGCAATCTTTGAATGGTTTTCATGATGATTAAATATCTTGTTGGTGTTGTTTTTTCTTTTGCATCCAACCAAATACAAAAATTACACACCAAGAATGATGACAAGAACAGAGATAGTGGGAAATACAGCATATTAGGGGCCCCCAACTTTAATGAATGAAGAGGCGTGACCTAAAGTTTTGTAGATGACAGTGCCTAGAAGGTGTAGTGGGTGGTGACTTTTGGTGTAAGCTTCCAAAAAGCTGTTAGTTTGGAAAGAAGAAGAAAGAGATATATTTGAAAGAGCCAGTGGAGAGTAAGAAGGCCTCCTAGCTGAACTTTAGTCATGAGATATGTGGGGTCATGGGAAATAAACAGCCTGCAGGTGAGCAGAGTCCTCAGAGGAAACCAGTTAAGACAAGGAGGTTGGCTGGGCATGGTGGCTCATGCCTGTAATCCCTGCACTTTGGGAGGCCGAGGACAGTGGATCACCTGAGGTCAGAAGTTTGAGACCAGCCTGTCCAACATAATGAAACCCCACCTCTACTAAAAATACAAAAAATTAGCTGGGCATGGTGACGTGCACCTGTAATCCCAGCTACTCAGGAGGCTAAGGTGGGAGAATCGCTTGAACCTGGGAGGCAGAGGTTGCAGTAAGCCGAGATCGTACCACTGCACTCCAGCCTGGGCAACAAAAGCAAAACTCCACCTGGAAAAACAAAAAAAAAAAAAAAAAAGAAAGAAAAGAAAGACAAGGAGGTCAGGGAAACATTCAGAGAAGGTGCTGAAGATATAGGCGAATTGTTGATTGCCGATCTAAAGGGTTAATGAACACAGCAGAGGAGTTTGGAAGGCAAAGGAGGGCTTGGAGATTGAGTTAAAGGGCTTAAATGTGGGAACAATTTTATTTCTCCCAGCCACTTTCTTATTAACAGAGCCTCAACTGTGAGTGTTCTCCCTCCCTCAGGAGGATATGTGTTCAGTAAAGGTTACCTTCTTCCCAGCCCAGGAATCTCTTGATTGGTTTGAAAAGGGGTAAATGACCCTATTTTGCCTAATGAAATGAGAGAAAAACTTAGCTAAGATCTTCTACAAAAATGTTCCTTTGTTAAACACAAAAGAAGGAATAGTTATTCTAGTTTGTACTTGTTTCTCCTGAAGTTACTGGGTGAATATGTATGCCTGAAGCTGTAATGCCCATCTTGGGACCATATGGAGAAATTCTGATATAAAATAAAGGATGTTATACCTTCCTACTCTTGTTCTGTACTTCTCTATTTCATTTCAGGGGGTTCTTGAAAATATGGGAGGCAAAAAAGTTCATGGCTAATCCTTCCTCCTAATTTAAAGAAATACGTATTTTTTTTCTAATTACAAGAATCGTATCTGCTCTTTGTAGAAACTAAAATAATGAATTGTATAAATTAGAAATTAAATGTCTCTGTTTTACTTTTTTATTCCTATACATATAAAATAACTTCCATCTGAACACATTTGTACTTTTTAAAAATAAATATATTATGAAATTAAACATCTGATACCTGCAGTTTTCATTTTATGATATAGAGAAGGACATCTTCTCAGAGAAGATGATGCTTGAAGAGTCCTTATGGATGATTAATAGTTTGGAGATAAGAAAGGAGAATGAATTGAAGTGGTAATAGAGGGAGAGTCAGATAGATGGGACAATATTTTTGGCTGAGATAAGACATTGTGCAAAGGCTAAAAAGTATTAAAGATCATAATCACTTTATGAGAAAAGTAAGTATACTCAGTGACAGAGAGCAGAAAAGTTTATAAGAGAGTGAAGGGAAATTAATCTGAAAAGACAGAAGAGAGGACCTAACCCAAAAGTGCTTTAGATGCCATGTTAGAACTTTTTTTTAGATGCCATTGTGAACTTTCTAATGCGGGGTACAGGGAGTTGTAGAAGAATTTAAAGCACATGGGTAATAAGAGCAGATGAATTATTTAGAAATATCACTATTTCTCAAGATCAGATAACTAAAATTTTGGATTCCAGTTCCAGCATTTATTAGCTGTAAAATTATGAGTAGATTATTCAGCCACTCTGTCAGTATCCTCATTTGCAAAATGGGGATGATGGAAGAAGGATTGTGATGATTAAATGAGAAAACACATATGAAAGTGACTGTAGAGTGCTGGTCATACAACAGGTTTTCAGTGCATGTTAATTTCCCTCTACTACCATAGTAT